TTGGTATAAATTTAACCCAGAAACATTTTATATTAATTAATCTTTGGTAATACATGAGGTAATACTTTAACATGGTATCACTGGTCATTAACTTGGTTTTTGCATTGTTTTTGGACATGTACCATATTATTATGACAAAACATTGCTTGGCAAAGCTATTGTTACATGGTGTCTGCATTATAATGAATGAAGCTGTCAACTCTGGAACAGTCTGTGAGACTTTGGAAAGTAGGCTATTATTTCTACATCAAAGGTTTAAAAAAAACATTTTTTTATAAAGCACTGTGGGATAAACGACATAGAAGAATCTTTAATGCTCGACACATTTCTGCCTCCACACAGTATATACGATATACAGCCCAGTCCTATCAGACAGACAGAAATTCCGTTTATAGATCCGCGTGTCATTTTAATCCAGCTTTCTTCATTTTAAAGTAGTTCATTGTTTCCCAGATGTCTCTGGCTTGATGGATGTTCAGCGCTCTTTTCCTCTTCAGAAGGCATCAACCCTCAGGATTGTCTGTCTAAATTTGGCAGCACTCCCTTTTTTTGTCAGTGTACGTTTTTTAGAACCTTTAATTCATGCTCACTAAATAAAAGGCTCTGATCTCCATTCTGGATTCAGAGTAAGCCTGCAAAAGGGCATTTCACGCTCTGACAGGGAGAAGATCCATGGCGTTCTAGTGGCGTCTCTATCTGCTTCTCCTGTGTTGTGTTCAGAGACAGAGACGGTCTGAGCTACACCCCTGTCATTCACATGCTTTACAGAATTAGTTGCTACCTTTGAGAGTGTTTTATGAAAAATAGGTGTTTTGACATTTTTAAAGCAGGGGTTTTCAACGAGTTTTCAGAGAGTTTGGGGGGGGTGTCAACAATTCTGTGTTTTTCTGTCAATATGGGGTGCTGTGTGTACATTAATGAGGGAAAAAAATTAACTTAAATGATTTTAGCAAATGGCTGCAATATAACAAAGAGTGAAAAATTTAAGGGGGTCTGAATACTTTCCGTACCCACTGTATATATATATGGATGCCATATGTGTCATCTTTTTAATATGAAGAACAAAATATGTCTGTCTGTCTATCTGTTAATTTGTATTATGCTTATAGTTATGCTCATGGTTATATATTGATTAATTCTAAAATTATGAATTATATTCATATATTAAAAACTATACATAGAATGCATATTGTTTTATATTAATATTATAACAAATGTTAGATTTATTCATTTTAATAAGATTTTAAAAAAAAAGTTTGTATTTAGATTACACATTATTATTATTATTTTAAATAAGTGCTATATACAGAAAAATATATAATTAGTTTTATAGCCCAGTAAGCTTTGTACTGCATAAAAAAAAAAAATGCATTTCAGAAAGCCGATCAATTGTCAAATTGTAATTTTTCTCCCGGTTTTTGTTTTTTTTGTGTGTGAAATTTGTTTGTAGCAGCTTGTTGGTTTCTCACACAAAGCTATTTTATGACTTCAGATGATTTGTAATATAGTGTACAAGTTGTATGGACTACTTTTATGGCTCTGTTTTGTACACTTAATCTACAAAAAAAAAATCTTCATTTGTCTTCCACTGTAGAAAGACAGCCATTTGGGTTTGCAACAACATTAATGTTCATAAATAGATCTATTTGCAGAGCTAGCCGTGTGTTTGTGTATTGTATGTTGTGTTGTGTTTCCTTCAGCGTGTAGTACATGTGCCGCCGCAGGGCTTCCTGTCGCGATACGACTGCACTATCGTATCAGATCCACATAAATAATGAAGACGGCTGGTGTAATTCAGTTCCTCTGTTGTACCCGAGCCCGACTCTCATAAGACGACCCCGTTATCTCCTTCTGAGTGTACCAGTAGAGCAGGGAGTGATGGGGAGGACACTCAAAATCAATAAAACGTCCAGTTTGGCGTCTACAGGGGGCAAAACATGTCAAGAGCCATTTAAATTCTGTTCATACAGCTCAATAACTGAAGTGTATGGGGTTTCCAGGAGGCCGATAGTAGCTGCTCGTGTTTCTTTTGATGTTGCTTTAATTCACTCGCTCCAGAGGCAGGGTAAATATTTCATAACCTTCCTCAAATATTGATAAAGCTTTTATTCACGGCTCATTTGCGTCATACCAATTTTGAGAAAGTTCTTTTGGAACTTTTTTAAGACGTTCTGGAGCTCCTCGCTGGTTTTCTCAGCAGTACGCTGGTGTCTTTTTCTTGGTGGGAAAACCGTAATTCATGCAAATGATCTGTAAATATTGTCCTACGTGGGGATTAAGTTCACTGGAGCAATCCGGCGAGGAATGAAGCGCAATGCTGCGGTGTGTCAATCTCCCAGCTCTTTCCAAAAAAACACGGCGGTCACAAAGGGCCAGACCCCAGCAGGAAGTGCATATGTATTGGCTAACCCCAGGTGGAGGCTTATTGTCTGTTCCTTCAAAGATTTGAATTTAAATGCCCGGCTCTGCAGCTGCTCTCTCTCCCAGCATGCACTGGGCCCCTTTATGGTACAAAAGCGTCCTTGGAGCTGCCAAACTGGCCTGTAATCCTGCTGAAGGGGCATCAGGTTACTGTACCCAGACAACTTCCTGCCTGTCTTTTTGCACCTTGAGATTCTGGGAGGCATGAAAATCTTCTTAAGGGAGAAGTTAAGAAATTTCTCAAGTGAAAATTCTAAGACGTTCATGAAAATGTTCAAAAAAGTGCAATACTTAAAGAATTCTTACATTTTCATATATTTTCTTAAGAGCATCTTATTTGATTGTTTTAAGAAGAAAATGACACTTTGTTGTTATCAGGGGCTGGACTCATGAAAACCTTCTGAAGAAAGAAATCAAGAAATTTCTTAAGATTAATAAAAATAAATGTCTTTAATCCCCAGATTGTAAGAATGTTCACAAGTGAAATTATTACTAAATTCTTGTATGTTCTCATATATGTTTGTAAGAAAGTCTTAATTCACTTATCTTAAGAAATTACTTAATTTTAAGAACATTTTTCATAAATGAACTAAGTTTGTTAAAAAGTGTAACTGTTAAATTAAGAAGTTTTCAAATATTTTCTTAGGAACTTTTTTTTTCTTAAGACGAAAATGATAAAACGCACTTGAAAAAGACTTTTTTTTTCCTACCAGATTACTGTAATACAAGCATAATAACCATGCACAATATTTTTATTCCATCTGGCTTGATGAGAGTATTTTTAAAGAGTCTTTCTAAAGAAGGCTCGATTTTAGCATTTAAGACCAATTTTAGGTTATCCTAACTTGAAAATATTACGATGATTTTCAACATTTTTGTCTTTAGAACATTTTTAAGAAAATAGATAAGAACATTCCTTGGAAATGTTTTTGGGAATACAAAATATTCTTAAATTCTAAAATAACAAGGCAATCACAGTTATGAAGACAAATGTGATTCTGGCTTAATTTTGGAAATCGGTTGATTCTTAAAGTCAACTTGAAATGTTTGCAATCCATTTAATCATGAAATGTGACGAATGTAACTTGATTTATCCATCGGGAATTGATTGGATGGTGAAAAGTGTTAATATGTTGAAAATATAAGGCCTTGATGACATCATCTGAAAAGTAGTTTCAAAAGCAGAGCAAGTTGTATTTTGATTCCACAGTCAATCATCTTTGTTCAAAGAACAGCTCACATTGGATTACATTTTTAAGATGTCAGTTTCAATTTTTTGTCGACTTCTGCCTAAGTTTTCTTGCACTTCTACCTTATGTGCAATCTAAACTCTTGCCAGGCAGCTCCAGTGGAGTTCATTTTTCTCCCAGACTGCTGCCAGAGCCAAGCTGTGTGTTTTTACGAGATCTGTCATAAACTCTGGGTACTTGGCATGAACTAACTCTCTGTTCTCCCTCCCCAACAGCCCTTCCACCCCATGGTGAACCTGCAGTGCTCTCCAGACCTCAGGACGTTCCTGTGTGCCCTGTATGCGCCCGTGTGTATGGAGTACGGACGGGTGTCTCTGCCGTGCCGGAGCCTGTGCACGCATGCCAAGAGAGACTGCCAGAAGCTCATGGACATGTTTGGAGTCACCTGGCCAGAGGAGATGGAGTGCAGCAGGTACTCATTCAAGACTTTTGGAAATTTAAGGTAGCTTTTGAGAGAAGGTACAAAGTGTACATTGCCCAGTGTGTCAGATGTAATTGCCTCATGATTGCTCAGCATTTCTGAAGGTAAATTGTGCTGTAATGGTTGAACATGTTTATTCTTGGACATGGTTAATAGTAAATGTTTCCTGACTGAAATGGTGGTTTAAGCCAATGGTTCTCAAACTGGGGGCCACCAGATGGCACTAGGGGGGCCGCATAGAAATTCTAGAATCTAGATTAGGAAATTATTTAAAAAAAATGATTATACCTGTATGTAAGTCAGGATTGTCAATTTATGTAAACTATGATGTATTTAAAAAATAGAAATGTTTAAAAATAATATAAATTATACTCACACTACAGAAACGCTCCGTTGATGTACTAGTGCACAGAACGGTTAGCCATGAACACGCTGATAAATGCTAAAACTCTTTCAAATGGATACGTTTTTAGATAGAGGATGCACTGTCTCAGCTGAGAAGGTTAATACAGAAGAGCCTAGCGTGAAAAAAACCAAACTGCGTAAATTTGATGACTCGTACATAAAATATGGCTTTATGGAATATAGTGACGGCAGACCACAGTGCACGCTGTGCTTGAAGATTTTATCCGTTGAAGCGCTGAAACCATATAAACTCAACTTTCGCAACAATTCATCCGGAGCATGCGAATAAAAGGAAGGATTTTTTTCAAAGAAAGAAAGAAGAATACAAGCAAAAGGTACGGATGACTTACATCACGACAATACCCGAGAAAGCACAGCAAGCATCGTATCTTGCAGCCCTGCGAATAGCCAAATGTAAAAAGCCTCACACGATCGGGGAGGAATTAATACTTCCAGCAGCAGTGGATATGTGCAGAGTGATGGTCGGGGAGGAGGCCGCGAACAAGATTAAATCCATACCGCTGTCCAACGGTACAGTAAGCAGACGGATCAAAGACATCTCTTTTGATGTGAAATCTCAACTGACTGAAAGATTACGATTGTGTGAGCAGTTCGCGCTTCAGCTTGATGAATGCACTGACGTTAGCAGCGCTGCACAGTTGTTCGATATTTAAAATTATTGGACAGTAAAATTATGGAAGATTTTTTATTTTCAAAAGAACTCGAGGGGAGAGCTACAGGTGAGGACATTTTCAAAATGTTGGACACTTTCATGGTAGAAGAACATCTGAGTTGGGAAAAATGTGTCTGTTTGCACTGATGGTGCGGCAGCAATGACTGGGCACAGGAGTGGAGTTGTCACGCGAATTCAAGCCATAAATCCAAAGATCGCAGCCACTCACTGT